AGGGGGTAGGGGGAAGCAAATATTGTTTAAAAATGAACAATGATGTAAAACATTTTAAAAAAATTAAAAAACATGATTTGTTTTAAGAAAAGTCAAGTAATAGAAAAGTACATAGGATAAAAAGCTAAAGCCTATCCTGCATCCATCTCATTCATTTCTTCATATTAAAACACTATTAAACAGTTTGATGTGTCTTCCATAAATTTTCTAGAATATTAGACACCCACAAACACAAACACCTGTTTTTTTCACCATTGGAAAAAAAATTTTTTTTTGGAAAGCATAGTTGTTAGCTCATTTTATTCCATTTTTAGTACTTTTTTCTTACATTTTGTTAAATTTTGGACAATACATGATTTCTCCCTTCAGGTGTGGTCACCATAGTTCTCCCATCATCAATCATCAATAGTCTACCACCCTGTTTTGGAAATCATACTAATATCTTACTAATCATGTAGTTCTGTACTAGATCTTTTGCATTACACCCTACTACCTCTATATTACTTCTGTACTATGCTTACTGCTGAATGCCCATAGATATTAAGGGAGTAGAGTGAATGGGAGCTTGGGTTCTATCAATAATTCCAATCTTAGTTCTGCCACTGTATAGCCTTGAACAAGTTAATTTTTTGATGCCTGCTTTTTCTCATTTATGAAATGCCCAAAATGAATAGCACGTGCCTAACAGGGCCATTAGAATTATAGAAGTTGTGAATATTACCTATGATGAACTCATACAAAGAACCTAGAAAGTAATGTAATCACTATTTAATGGCATTACCTCAAAATTTTATGATTTATACAAGCTGTATAATTGTTTTCTGCTAATGAATCCTTTTAAAATAGTCTTAAAATATAAATGTTTACAAACTGGGTTCTCATGAAATATACTACTCTAAGTATCCAAGCTCATCTTTTTAGCTTGTATTTAATTATATATATATATATTTTTTTAGGCTCTCTGTATATTTTATTTATTTATTTTTTAAATAATAAATTTTATTTTTATACTCCCCCATACAATTGCAAATGCCCCATTCTGACCCCAATCCCTCCCCTCCCGGCCCCCACCCCCCAAAAAGTGTCTCTGGTTCATAGTTTTTTGTTGATTTTGATTTTCACTTTCTTATAGTTATTCATTTTCCTGGTCCCTTATTTAAGTTTTCTAGATTTCTGCTATGAGTGAGACCATCCGGTATTTTTCTTTTTCTTTTTGGCTTATTTCGCTGAGCATGATCCCTTCCAGCGCCATCCATGTTGCTGCAAATTGCATGTGTTTATCTTTTTTTGAATGCTGAGTAATATTCCATGGTATATATGTACCACATCTTCTTGATCCAGTCATCTATTTTTGGGCATTTGGGCTGTTTCCAAAGCTTAGCTATTGTAAATAGTGCTGCTATAAACATAGGGGTGCAGGTGTTCTTTGGAATTGATGTTTCTGTGTCCTTTGGGTAAATACCTAGGAGTGGAATTGCTGGATCATATGGAAGCTCTATGTTTAGTAGGTCCAGAAATCTCCACACAGCTCTCCATAGTGGTTGGACCAGTTTGCACTCCCATGTATTTAATTATATATTCTTAAGATAAAATTTGTCAACGGTTATGCACATATTTGTGGCTTTTGCTCAGTATTGCTTTTAACAGAAATACCAGTTTCAAAAATAACATCCAGGAATTATTTAAACCTTACTGGCAGGATTTAGAAAAATTTTGCTACCTTAGTCATAAAATGGTATTCCAAATCTGCTTTAGTGGGTACTTTTTGCATCTTTGTGAGTGTATTTATTGTATTTATTTGCCTTTTCCCCTTCAATCTATGGTTTTTCATTTACTGAGCATCTGGGGATATCATTATTCTAAAGACTAGGTATCAATAAATGAAATAGACAAAAATCCCTTTAGGGGAATGGTTGACTCAACTCTTAAAAAATACAGTTTTTTACAATTACCTTATGGTTTCACTCATTTGTGAAATAGAAATAACTGAAGAAAACAAATTGAAAAAAACACACAAAAAATAACTCTTAGGCTCTGTGAAAACTATGATGGTTACTAGAGGGGAGGGGAGAATATAGATGGGAGAATGGATAGTGTATTGGCACTGAAGGTTCCGTAGAGGGCAAGTGAACATGTGCACACATTGAGGTATTAAGTAGTGCTCCCCAAATTGGGGTTTTATAAATGACTGGCAAATACTTTTAAATTTCATTTCAAAAAAAGCTACAATTAAAAAAAAAAGGAATAATCTTTTAGGTACAATAGTAAATTAGCATAAGCTTTTCTAACTAACATAAGCAAACCTTTTTAGTATTTGGTCTTTGATTTCAGGAGGAGGAAAAGTAGTTGCAGCCATATGATGGATGAATAGGGGGCAACTTCCTGCTTGTTTATTTAATAATAATGAAGTTATTAAAACATTTAGAACAAGAAAGTAAATTAGTATATAATTTTCTATTATTTTAATAATAAAAATACAAATCTATCTGCCATGGAGTAGAAAAAACTTTACATGAGTTTTTTTTTTCCTTTTTTAAATTTTTAAAGATTTATTTTTATTTATTTATACAAGCACTGGGTACAGTCAGAAGCGCGGGAGGGTGAGAGAATTCACCAGAGCCAGAGCGGGAGCAGAGCAGGCAGAAGGACCGAAGCACACTGCTGAGGGGAGCAGCGGTCGGCAGGAGAGGTCTGCGCGCCATGTGGGACCCTCCTCTGGTGGCCTGGGAGCAGCCGGGGATGGAACTGGGCCTGCAGAGGCTGCGGGAAGCCTTGCAACCCAGCGCTCAACCGCTGCGCCACCGGGGGAGGCCCCGCATGAGTTCTTAAAGATAAAATATTTTTAAAATAAATTTTCAACATATTCCTAAATCCCATTTTGTCTTGGTATTCAGTTCTCTATATTTCAGTGGAAAAACTTGCAAAGGCTTAATAAACAATTCAAAACAGACTCTTGGAAGTTGAAAAGTAAATGTGTGAGAATGTTCCTTTAAGTGTCTTCAGTTTCTGGTAATTACAAATAAAGGCACTATTAACATTTATTTTCAAAATGGCTGTACCATGTATATTTCTATCAGCAATTTCTGGAAGTTGTATTTGGTCAGCATCTTCATCTTCACGAAGACTTATATAGTCAGTATTTTTTTCTCATTTTAATAGACGTGTTAATAGTGTTTCATTGTGGTATTAATTTGCACTTCTCTAATGATTAATGATGTGGAGCATCTTTTCATGAGACCTATTTGCCATTTGTATATTTCTTGGAGAAGATTCTGTTCTAATCTTTTGTCTAGTTTTTAATTTTTTTTTACTCATTATGAGAGTACTTTATATACTCTGGATAAATATTATTTTGTTTAATGTTTGACCAAAAAAATCCAACTCTCAGGTTATGATACATATGCGTATGTGTATTAAATGACTCAAGCCACTTCAATTCCATTGTGTCTTTTTATAAATGATTTAAATGTATTTGCAATGTTGTATTCTCTGAGGAATTACGTTTTCCTCTATCAGTAATATAAAGGGGTTTACAACCAAAATCTAAAATACCAGCCGTCAAGCTCTAAAAAGATATTCTGTATAAAATTGGTTCTAACCTACAGTATAGCAGAAGCTCTGCTTTCTCTTAGGATACAAATAAGCGAAATAATGTGTGACACAGGAATAAATTTTAAGTCTTCGCATGGCATTACTTTTCAAATTAGGTTGAAAAACAAAACAGCTCCAAACCAGCCACACACTAAGGAATGATTTAAAATAGCTGTTTTACCTTCCCAGAACCCATAAAAGGAACTATAACAAGACAGATGTTTTTAAGTTTTGCAAGCACTGCATGCAAGCTCCTCTTATTTCACTTTTGCACCTGCATCCCTGATTTGCAAAATTTGATGCGTAAAATTTCAAAATAGCAAAATGTAAGTTTGTTGCATTAACACGTGGTTGGTTCAGGGCTCTATGCAGTAGAGCATATTACCCTGCAAACTGGGATTCTTACATAGCTGATCATTACTGCAGTTAACTGACCTGAATGCACTTGAACTGAGCAGTTAGAAACCCCTAGGGGAGGTGAAACTGCTAGGAGCCCTCGTCCCTCTCTCCTGCGAAGGGAGGTCCCCTCCTATGGCTGACTACCGTATTCATTGATGTGCCCGAATTTCCGAGCTGTCTGCCTGCAGTTCTCCGATCAGTGCGCCTCTGCCGCGCGCATCAGTTTTCTGCGGTGGAGAGGGGTGGGAGTGTATTTGAAGACCAGCTACAGACCTGGATTATTTCTCTTTTCCGTTCCCTACACATCTCCAGCTAAAAACTTTTTTCACCTGTTAACGCTCCTGCAAATTCTGATACTCAGTTTCCTGCCAGCGTCTTCATAGCTCCAGTAAGTAAGGTGTCTCTGCAAACACAGCTCCTATTTTTGCCTAAACAATAATGGCCGCGCAAACCTTAAGGTTAATTTGTCCCAAGCCCGAGGACCGCGCCTTCCCACAAGGGAGGCGGGACACCTCCGAGGAGAGAGGAGCTGCAGTGGGCGAGAAGCCTCTAAGGCCGGACCCTGCTGGGCCGCCCAACCGCCCGGGCGCCGTCCGCGCACCCGGGAAAGTCTGTGCTCCCGCCGCCACTTCCGGGTCCGCCTCTCGGCGAGCGTTGGAACTCGCTTTCCCAGGAGGCCCCGCGGGGTCCCCGGCGCCTCGACCCCTTGCTGTGCGGCGCTCAGCACGCTCCGGGTCCTGTCACAACTAGACCCGCAAACGCGGCGTCGGCCCCGCCCACTGCTCCCAGCTCCTTCCCCGACTCCCGCGAGTTCCAGTCCCAGCTTCCAGCTCCCCAGCCCCGCCCTCAGTCCCGCGCGCTCTCCCCGCCCCGCCCACGTCCCCTCGCGTGCGGCCGCCGCAGCCAATGAGGTTCGGGGCCGCGTGCGCAGATTCAAACGGCGGCTCCTGAGGGAGGCTGGGCGCGAGATTCGGCGGTGCGGACAAAACCCTGCAGGAGGCTGCGAGCCCTGCAGAGCTGCTCGCTGCGGAGAGAGGGCGGGGGTCGGCTCCCGGGGCAGAGCCGCTCAGGGCCGGCAGCAGAGGGGCTGAGAAGAGGCGGGAGGGGTCGGCGGCGGGCGGGAGCGCGCCTCCTGACATGTTGGGGGCGTCTCTGACCCGGCCAGGCCAGGGCTAGTGGCGGCGCTCCGGGCCGGGGGCGGGTCGCGGTCCGCCCCTCAGTCCCTCCGTCCGGCCCTACCGGGGACGTGCGTTCCGCGCTCGGCCGCCTGGCAGAGGGAGCTTGGGGAGCGGCGGGAGGGTTGGGGAGAAGGAGCTTTCGCCTGAGGCTGGAGGAGGCTGAACTGCGTCCCCGCCCAGCCCGCGCCTATGCGGTACTGGAAGGATGGCGAAGAGGTCGCGCAGGTGGGTGTGACATCCCTTTCGCCCAGGCCTGTCGGCGCTCTCTCGACTCAGATTCTCTTTCCCTCCCGCCGCTTCCCCAGCAGGCCCTCCCCAGCTGGGGCTGAGGTTTCCCCTCCCGCTGCTCCACAGCAGCTTCGGCCGGTGTGGCCGGAGCGCAGCCGGGAAGTGGGGCGAGCTGGGGACCCGTGTTTAAGACGCAGAAAGTGAGTAACATGCCCAGGTTGCTTTTTTGAGGGGGTTCTCCCCACAGCGCTCGTCCAGACGCTCAGTCTCTACTAGCTACTTCCTGGTGGGAGGTTTCTTGCCAGGTAACCTTGCTGTGAGATTTCAGGGAATGCGCTCTACGGATGGGAGTGATGGTGGCCTGCCTGGGCGACTGGAAAATATTTCGTGTTCAGGGAGGGACTCTTATTTTCTAAGTTACTGTACCAGTTAAAATAAGAGCTCTGTGATGAACTTGGGCGTGACCCCCCCACACCCCTACACCCCCCCCCCTCCTTCCTCCGCCAACTTGCCACCTGGAAAGGTATGGAAAATAATTGAGAGAGGAACTTTTTGATGTTTTCTGTAATTACCGTAACCCTGGGCTCAGCTTTATGTATATGTTTTAAAATATCTTCTACTGGGACGATGTCACACTGTTGCTACCTACCAGTAGTTTGATCCTAAAATAAAACATTGTACTTCATTCACTTACTATTCTGAGTGTCCGTGATTGGCTCTGACTGTATCTAAATATTGCAGAGATAGGGCACTTCCTCCCCACCCCCCAACGTGCGAGGATGATTCGTGTGTCTAATTTATTAATCGCTTTAGTAACTGCTCTTAATGTGTATTAACATCTAGATGATTAGGGTATCTCTTTAATTGTCAATATTGTAAGAAACCTGAAAAGATGTTTGATGGATGTTCCAAATGGTTTTATCTAGATCAGCAGGCTCAAAATCTTAATTGGAGGTTGAAATTTAGTACTTGATTCATTCATTGCAGATTTCTGTTAAAAATTGGCAGTAACTATTCATAGTATTTGATGTCTTATTTATTAAATATCTGCTGTTTGTAAGATATTTTTGCAGAAAACAATATAATTAAGCCTCTGTTCATTATTTTGTGGCAACTACAATATAGGGCAGATTTTTGAGGTGGAACAAATGTATACACACACATCAATCCACCTCTCTAGAAGAGTTTTTAACTTTAGCACTATTGCTATTTTGGATCAGGTAATTCTTTGTAGTGGGAGACTGACATGTGCTATGGAGGACTTGTAGCAACGTCGCTGGCCAGTAGATGCTAACACTATGCTACCTGCATATGACAATTAAAAATGTCTCTAGATACTGTCAAATATCAATTGGGGAGCAAAATCACCGAGGTGAGGATCACTGTTCTCAACCATCAAGAACCCAAGACTCAATTTTCAGGAAAGGTAGATGTTAAAAGCTAGTGTAGTTCTAATTGCTGAGGCTTTTTCTGTAGAATTTTTGAATACACAAAATTTAAAAAATGTCTTCATTAAGCAAGGTGAGAAGTAAATCTATCAATTCAATAACAGATTCATTTATAGTCAATGTGGGGCATGATCTATTTATAAACATTGATGTTAATCTTAAAACAGTTTCTTGGCTAATGCTGTCATCAGCATTTAGTTATGGTTAGACATGGATGTTTGAATATCAGAACCTTATCTTCTCCAAATGGTTTCCTGTCTTTCCATTTCATAATTTGTGTATGCTACATAGTAATAGACTAAGAAGAAGAAATTATTTAATGATGAATTTGCTTGTATAAGTTATTTTCTTTTATTGACATTACTGTGAGCTTTGAGATCTAAGCACTAATTATACTGTTGACCTATTCTTCGTCAGCTATGTAAGTTAATTAAACTGTGTATTATAGAAGGATTTAGAGCCACAGGTCTGGAGTAACTAAACATGGTGGGGTGAAGCTAGAGAATGTAGTGAAAAATCATCTCTGAATGCTATATTTCCTAGGGTCTTCATTCTTGAATGTGTTTCATACTCTGTTAATATTTGTTGTGTAGGTAAATATGACTTATTGCTCTTAGAAGATAATAGAATATGAAATGTTTTGAAGAGGGAAGTATTTTTTGGGCTAAGTCTAGTTTCATATCTTTTGTCTAAATATCAATAATAAATATGAGCCTAATTATAGTTCAAAGAAAAGGGAAATAAATCAATTTAAGAACACTATACAACCATTTAAGTATTTGCGTGAAAACCAGTCTGCTGTAGAAGAGTTTTGCATAAGACCACAGGCATAAATCCTGTACTATTTCTATATTATCTGAAAAGTGAAAAACTGTTAGCTCAGGTATGACACAGCTGATAAATGTTAACTCTTCAGATCTTAAGATAACTGTAGTATCTCTGATCTAGAATTATATAAATAAAAGTCTCATTTAAGATTGTGATTTTAAATAGTTTTAGATCTCACTGGGGGTTATGGTGAAATAACTTTCAGGCAATACTAAAATTGGTGTATCTGTCATTAACATGTATTTGATTTTTAAGCATATTTATGTATCAAGTAGTAAAGATAGTTTTCAAAAGTCCTACCCTTATTTATAAACTTTATAAATGACATTTAGAAATTAGGAAAGTTATCTTAGTAGTAAAAGATTTAGGTATTCACACGTTGAGATAACCTGTGACTGTAGTTTTTACTACAGATAAAAACCAGTTTTTTTAATTAGAAGATCTTTTTCAGTAGTGTGTGTGTGTGTGTGTGTATCGGAGGCAATTTTAGTATGTTGTTTAAAAAAATGGGTGTTATAGATAAAAGAATACTGAAATGTGAAAAGTTATTTTTTAATCAGTTTTGTCATTAGGGATTTTTTTTGAGAAAGCAAGAAAACTTTATATTTCAGCTTTCTCTCTGTTTTGGACCCTTTTGTAATCGGTCATCTTTTCTCATTTAAAAGTATACGCACACTAATGGAATAAAAGATATGTCCTTGCATTGTTTTTATTTATAGGTAGTTATGTAGAACTCCCTTCAGTATTTTTATCAGTATTGGCTATGTATAATGGTTTTTAAAAAAGTCGAATTTGTTCTAATATAATAATGCTAGTTTGCAGTCCAGAATAGGAAACAAAATTGTCATGTATGCAGTACATCATATTAACCACTGGGCGGCCTGATTTCACTTTATTAAATCAACTTGGGAAATTTCACCTTTGAATTCAGTTGGACTTAAAATGCCCGTTACCCTGTCAAGACAGTTTAATGAAGGTGTATTTTTTTATTATGATAAAAGTTTTAGAATTTATGGGTTTATGATTTAAAATGTGATCAAATTGAATTGATTTTATTAAGGCAAGTTTTATGGAACTACTGATATTTCTCTCATTTCAATCTGGTAGTTTCTTTTCAAATAAAAATAAATTAAAAAAATTCTCAAATTCTTACTGTGACTACATTTAACTCCTTTTAGGTGGTATTACTGGTGTCCTAAAACTGAACTTTACCCCACTGTCTTAATGTTGTCAACTGTGAATAGTTTGCATATTATTTCACAGGAAAAGTTATGACTGTCACTTCCTATTTAGCTTACACCCCAGAGCAAAGTTTCTTAGCCATTTTCCTGGCCTGATGAGTCATAAAATTTGTGTGTGTGCACTTATTTTGCTGTTTCATATTCACTCTAATCACTTTTTTCAATCATAATCTACAAAAATCTATTTGAATATAATACTTAGGTTAATATTAGGAAATCGTAGAATAAATATCTTACTTTGACTTAAAAGATTAGATTGGCTGAATGATTATGGAAACCGTATAATGACTTCAGATTTAGAGACCAAATACAACTTGTTTTTTTTTTTATAGAGGCATGTTTTTATTTATTTTTGTTTTGTTTGTTTTATACATGCACTGGGTACAGTCAGAAGCACGGGAGGGTGAGAGAATTCACCAGAGCCAGAGCGGGGAGCAGAGCAGGCAGAAGGACCGAAGTACACTGCTGAGGGGAGCAGCAGGAGGCAGGAGGGGTCTGCATGCCATGTGGGACCCTCTTCCGGTGCAGCTGGGGATTGAACCGGCGCTGCAGAGGCCGCGGGCAGCTTCGCAACCCAGCGCTCAACTGCTGCGCCACCGGGGAGGCCCTACAACTTCTGTTTTTGCTTTGTGATTGGAGAAATAATTTGACCTAGTTTTGCTTTCTTCCAGATTAGTAACCCTAGGCTAGAAGTGGTTTATTTATCTAGAGGTCAGGAAGTTGATTTTACAAAACTAATACATATTACTAGCATTGGTTACTATAATACAGAAGTATTGTAGTCTCATTAAGTAATGAGACTTTTTCATTGTGAAATGATTAAAGTGGAATAGTGCTGATCTTTCTTTTGAGGTTTTATCCTTTTCCTTTTTTCTGGGCAAATTATAGGTAATTGGCGAATGTCGTAGCTAGTGATACTGATCATTTTGTAGGCTCTTTTTCTGCCATGCTTATTTAAAAGTTACATCATCTTTTCAATAAACAAATATTGTAATTTGATGCTAAAACTAAGTAGTAGTTAGCTGGATAAATTCTAGGAAATTCCCAGTGGTAGAGAGATTATTCTAAGAATTCTACTTTACTATACCCTTACATTTACTCACTCAAAAAACCCAGCTTTCTGAACATTGACTGGACTGTATCACTCTAAAACTGATGACTACTGATGCAAACAGAGAGTGACACCTCATGTAGAAATAGAAATTTCTCACAAATCAAGTATGTGGTTAAGGCAGGTTTTAAAGTTAAAATTAACAAGTTTTCAAGAAATTTACACCTTGGAAACTAGTCTTTTGACCAAAGTAACAGTTTTACATTTCTTTCCTTAAAATATTTTGATGAGAACCTTAAGGAGAATTTCATACATATTAGATGTGATATAGATATTTTTCTGAGAACTCTACATAGCCAAGTCCCAAAATTCAAATTGTTTTGATCTCTAAATAACCTAATTTTTAAAGTAGTCTTAAATGTGCTGTTGTGGAAGCTGTTGGGAACTGAAGGGAAGGAAGAAAAGGAGGGGGCCTGTGAAAAGCACAACTGAAGAATCTTTGGGAAGTAGGAAGTGGATGTAGGAAGTGGTAGGGATACTAGGAAAGGTAAGGTAATATTAGGAGGCATCCCACAGAACCCCTCTCTGCTAAATATTGTTTCAGCAGGTGTTGCTTCTTATTCTACCACTTCTTTTGTTTTTGGATTTTGAAGTCCCTTTCTTAACAAATGGGAATACTTTTCACCTCTTCCTAGATGTCTTTTCATTTGCTAAAAAATTTTCATTCACTTGAGATCAACTTTAGTGAGAGAAGTGGAAGTTTTGATTGGGTTGCAAGGGAGTGAGGTAATTGGAAAGCAGTAGATATTTTAGTGACAGGTACAGTTCTTGGTTCTGAAAGATGAACATTTTAGACTTGGTCTTTGTAGTTCTGTCTGAGCTTACTGTTTGGTTAGAAAGGTTGGCAAGGGTGATAAACATTAAGAAGAAATGGTAGATGCCACGAGTTACATACAAATTGGACAGCAAACTTCAGAATGGTGTTTATTTGATTTTAGTAACATTCTTAGAAATTTGTGAAGTCAATGGATCTCCAGTTTATCAGTTTAATCTTGGCTAATTAGGTGATATTTCTGATGGCTGAAGATGACTATAAATAATAAAAATAATTTTCTTTAAATTTTTTTTTTGGGCAGGGAGAGCTTAACAAAACAAGCATATGGAAGTAGGACTGGCATATTGTAACAAGTAGAGATTGGTTTTAAGGAGAGAACTTTGCAATACTGAAGTTATGGAACTAAAGCAGTTAGATAAATATCATAGGTAGGGAAAGGGGATCTTGATGTCTTTTTCACTCTGTCAGGAAGAATTTTGGTTCTCTGGAATGACAAATGAAGGGAAATTAGAAATTTCTGCAAAAGTTGACAGTATATATTAAATCTAGGCCTTTATTTTTTAGTTTTGTAAAATTAAAACTATGTTATTATTAGGAAGTGTGCCCATAATATATATATTTACATATATTACATTATAGTCAAAGAAATCATACTTCTGTTGTTTGAAACCAGAGTGAATTTTTGGAAAAGAGTTGAGTCTATTAAAACAAACTGATTTTTAATATTGTTAGGCATTCAGTCTGTGCACATAATGCTAATATTATGTGTATACATACTCACTAGATTTTGAAGACTACTAAGAAAAAAGTACTTTTTTTCTATGAAGTACTTTTTAAATGTTTTTCTCATTTAGTTTTACCCTTAAAGCAATACAATAAGGTAGGTGGTATTCTCATTTTATAAACAGGTAAACCAAGACCCTGAAAAGTTGGTACATGCAGAGATACAAAGTGAGTGAAGTTAGAACTAGGACATAGCTCTGATTTCAAAATGTACTTCGATTTTTCTTTAGTATCTTCTAGCATGGTAGCCTCTTCCTTGTTTTTCTAGTGTTTGTAGTACAGTGGTTAAGCAGTGGGTTTTGGAGTTCAGTCATGCTATATTTAGGTATCATTGTGAGCAAGAAATTACTTTCTAAGACAAAATTTCCTTTTCTCCAAAATGGGAATACTGTTGCTCTCCTCTGATGATCTGGGGATTTTAAAAGAGAAATTTCAAAGGCTCCCACACTATATAATCCTTGAAAGTTTAAATAAATATTAGCTTATGATATTTTTAGATACTCATATCTGTAATTCTCTACTCAAAATACTTTAATTTATCACTAGAGGATGTCATACTTATGGCTTCTGTTCTTGGTATGCCAGTGATTGATGAAACTGTGTATCTATTCTAGACCTCAGTTGCTTTCTAGATCTATGTTCAATAGGAGAGTCAGTACACATGACCATTAAATTCTTGAAATGTGACTAATCTGAATTGTAACTATAAATATACATTAGATTTTGAAGACTTTACTAAGATAAAAGGAAAGTGAAATATTTGATGATTATGTTGATTATATGCTAAAATGATAATTTTTAATATATTGCGTTAAAACAATATTATTAAAATTACCTTTTCCTGTTTCTATTTTTTATGTGACCTAGGAAATTACATGTATTGCTTGTTACTATGTGTCTATTGGACATTGCTTTTTTAGAATATCTAGATATATTTTTCTCAATATTTAAATATATGTCTCAAGTGCCTTGAAATCAGCTATTCCAAAACTATTCTCCCCATTTGCTCCTTCTTTCCAATGTTGTTTCTCCCTCTGTTCCTTATTTGAGGGAAGAGCTTTATTTAAGCTCCCCAAACCAGAAATTTTGGCATCATCTGTGATTCCTCCTCCCTTGTCTTATATCTTTTGGTTTCTTTTTAATATCTCCCAGTTTCATATTCTTTCCATTGCTGTTACCCTTATCTTAGTCCACTTGTTCTTTCATGGTTTCTTGTATTTTATTACACTTAGAGCTCTTCCAGTCAAGGATGTAAAACATAGAATTCTACCCCATTTTCTTAGTAGTAGTATGGTTTAATATTAAAAAATGAAAATATTGGTTTCATCTGAATTTTTTAAAAATAGTACTCAAGCTTTATTTACTTTTTAAAGATTTATTTATTTATACAAGAGCTGGGGTACAGGCCAGAGGCACGGGAGGGTGAGAGGATTCACCAGAAACAGAGCAGGGAGCAGAACAGGCAGAAGAACTGAAAGCATTGCTGAGGGGAGCAGCAGGTGAGACAGGAGAGGTCTGCCATGCCATGTGGGTATCTCCCTGGCTGGCCGGAAATTGAACCCGTGCTGCAGAGCCTGCGGACAGCTTCACAGTGCTGTGTTCAACCTGCTGCGCCACCGGGGAGGGCCTCAAGCTTTATTTTTAAAAATATCTACTCAGTATCTCAACACCATTTATTAAAAAGTCCATCCAAAGATTTGCTATTTACTACAATAATTTACCAAATTCTGATATGAAATTTTTTATCTCTGAATGAATTCTGTTCCATTGATCTGTTTTCTGTTCAGGTGCCAGTACCATTCTGTTTTATTAATTTTTTCCCCTGCAGTGTATTTTGATATTGGGTAATGCTAATTCTATTTTTCTTTTAAATTTTCTGGCTATTATTGCTGTTTATTTTTTCTTTTTTCATCTGAGTTCTGTTATCTTATTCACTCTGAACTTAGTATTTTTATTCATTTAATTTTAATTTATAAATTAATAGATAACCTTTAATAATTATTTTCCTAACCATAGATCTGGTCTGAATGTTTTTCCATTTAAGTGTTTCTACCTTAATACTATTTTGCTGCTTACTATACCTTAATCTTGTGTGTTCAGATTATTTCTACATATTTTAACCTTTTTTTATAGTATTGTTTATGAATCATTTCTTCTGTCTCTTACCTGACTATATATTGTACTTATACAATATAAATTGTATAAGTATAAAGGCCCTAATAAATTCTTATTGGGTTATTGTGAACAAGTACTAAGTGGTCTTCCTTTGTCCATTTCTCCATATTACTTGCCAGTGGTTGTTTTTAAAAACACAAGATGCTTTGTCTTTTACTCCCTTAGTTAAATAATTGTTGTTGTTTTTAATTCTCTTAACTCTTTATGATAAAGGTCAAAGAATAAATGCCAAAGTCCTTAGTGTGGTATAAAAGTTATCACTTGGTCCCTGGTGGCATATTTAGCCTCATCTTTCTGAGTGAGAACAGCTCTCCATAGTATGACTTAATTATTTTATGTTTTGAATAATCTCATTGAATATATCTTTAAGTCTGAGTGACTTCTTCACTTGTTTTATGATTAAATTCACAAATTTAAATAAGATTCTTGATTTCACAATTATGTTTTTTTTAAGTGAGGATGAGGATGATGACCTTCAATATGCTGATCATGATTATGAAGTACCACAACAAAAAGGACTGAAGAAACTCTGGAATAGAGTAAAGTGGACAAGAGATGAGGTAATCATTTGATAAGATGTACTAATTCACACTTCTATTTATTGACTAAGAACATTATAAATAAGAAAGATAATTTAAAAACAAAACATGAGAACAAGTAATCCATCAAATGACTTGCACATCATTTTTCTTTAACCAGAGGCATGAATAGCTGGCTGGGGGTTCTCACAGAAACTCTGTAGTAAATGGGAGAACTTGTATTATATTGACTTCAGTCCTTCTAAAAATGGCCACTAGATATGACATGAAAGAATTGGAGACTTGTCTATATTCAGGGACACAGGTCTAGGGTAAGGGAGAGCTTTCTTAATTTTCATACCTGTTTTAATAGGATGATAAGTTAAAGAAGTTGGTTGAACAACATGGAACTGATGATTGGACTCTAATTGCTAGTCATCTTCAAGTAAGTGAAATATTGTTTTAATATTTTTAACATGAAAGATTTAGGCCATTGGGTTAATTTGCTGTTTTTCAAAATTGTGTCTGCATTACTTTAGATTTAGATTTCCTTCCTAAGAACATCTCTTTTGTTCTGGTCCTCATGTAGTTGCCAATGGCTTAGAAGTCTCATTTTCTAGTAATTAGTTTATCTAGGGGCCTAAAAGGATTATTATTGTAGAACAAAAGATACTAAGTTTGGATTGGGCTTTATAAATATTTGTTGATATATGTTAACATTTTTTAAGAGATGCGAAGTATACTAAGATATTTTAATAGCTAGTAAAGAAAATTAAAAAAAGATTTGTTGGAAAGTTTGACTTACAGTACTTATTTTGTAACATGTCGATTTAAAAAATAATACCACTCACTGTACTACTGCTTTCAAGTACTATTCATTAGTGTGTAATTTTGTAATTTATAGTGTATTTTCACATGTATTTTAACCTGTTCTTTCTGCAGTGTAAATACTGGGATATAATATTCATATTTGAATTTCTGTATTGATTACTTTGAGTTTCAGAAGCCATGTTATCTATGTTCTTTCTATATTGTCATGAGTCCTTTTAGCATAACTTGAAAATTAAGACCAAATAATGAAAAGAGCATAACTTTCAGAGAAAGTCTGAATTGTGTTCAAATGTTAGCTCTACTAACTGTTTGGTCCCTTTATCTATAATATGTAAATAATCATACTTGTTTTCTAGTAATTTTGAGTGAATTCTAAATAACATAAGATGTTTGGTACAGTTCCTGAGATTGAGCAGGTTTTAGTAAAAGGAAGTTAAATTAGGAAAGGTATTTATATTAGTTGTATCAGCTCAATTTCAATGTTATAACAACAAATAATGTGAACAAAGGCGTGTTACAAGAACACGTAGGAACAACCTGATTATTTTGAAGAACATGGTAACTTTAAACTGGATCGGCATTATTATATAGAAGCCATAAGTGAAGATTCTTAATTTGAAAAAAGAAAAATTATTTGAAGTCCAATAGGTAATAAAGACAGAGAAATTGGTAAACAAAGTACTTGTATTTATCCCTTTATATCTAAACTATCTTTGATCTTCTATATGGACTAATTTTATAACTAATGAGTAAGTATCACTATCAACAGCCTTGTAGTACATAGGAATTAGCAGGTTATTAATTGACTAAAATAAAGCTTCATTTATTAATCATTTTTGAAGTTTGAGATGTTTCTACATTAGGTTTTCTTATCCTGATAAATTCATTTTTCTCTTAAGTTTAAGTGTTTTAACTGATAATATGTGTGTGTGTGTGTATATATATATATATATAAAATATGCACATCTTCTATATATGTATATCTATATATAGTTTTTTCTTGGTAACTTGAGGGACATCATTTATGAACACTCTGTAACTACCATGACAGTAGTCTAGCTTTTTGAATTGTATGGGGTTATGTGATGCTGCACTACAAGAATCCAGACTATTCTGTTCTTTGAATTCTTATGTCTGACACATACTTTTCTGCTGTTCCTCAAGTTTAGATACATTTGTTTATGGCAGAATCTGTATTGCTTTGCTGCTTGCTGTGTTGTAAGGTTTAGTATATAGATACATACCTTAATTTCAAATATATATTGTTTTAAAGCCATGCCAATGACTAATTAAAAAACATAATTGAACACAGGCATATAAAATATATGTTATTGAATGCATTATTTTTGAAGACTTTGTTCTTAAGATTAGAAGACATAAGTTTGGGTTGACTTGCTTTTTCGGTAACAAAAAATGATCTAAATTTTTTCAGAATCGTTCTGATTTTCAATGCCAGCATCGATGGCAGAAAGTTTTAAATCCAGAATTGATAAAAGGCCCCTGGACTAAAGAAGAAGATCAGAGGGTAACATGTTCCTATTCTTTATTTTCACTGTGTAGATGGACTAGCTGTTTTCTTCCTAATGCATTTTTTTTTCTTTATTGAGATGTAATTGACATATAACATTGTATTAGTTTCAGATGTCATAGCATAATGATTTGAAACTTGTATGTGTTGTGAAATGATCACTAAGTCTAAGTCAACATTTCATCACCAGACTTAGTTATATTTTTTTTCTTGTGATGAGAACTTTTAAAATTTACTTTCTCAGCAACTTTCAAATACATAATACAGAATTCTTACCTGTAACTGCCATGCTGTACATTGCATCTCCATGACTGACTGACTTATTTCATCACTGGAAGTTTGTGCCTTTTGACCTCTTCCCGCATTTTACTCACCTTTCTATACACCTTGCCTCTGGCAACCACCAGTCTGTTCTCTATATCTATTAACTTAGCTTTTGTTTTCATATTTCATATGTAATGGAATTTGTCTTTATCTCTCTAATCTATTTTACTTGGCATAATACCTCTAGGTCTCTCCATGTTGTCACAAATGGCAATATTTCAGCTTTTTTTATGACTGAATAATCTCTCTCAATATGTGTGTGTGTGTGTGTGTGTGTGTATACACACATATATATTACATAGATATGTAATTATTTTCTCCTTTATTTATCCTATGATGGACACTTAGGTTGTATCCATGTTTTGGCTATTATAAATAATGCTGCATTGAATATGAGGGCGCAGGTATCTTTAAACTTAGTATTTTGTTTTCTTCTGATAAATAGCCAGAAGTGGAATTGCTGGATCATATTGTAGTTCTAGGTTTAATTTTCTGGAGTATCTCCATTTTGTTCTTCCTCAATGGTTGTGCCAATTCACATTCCCATAAACAGTGTACACACTTTCTCTTTTCTCCACATCCTTACTAACAATTGTTATTTTTTGTCTTATTGATATTAACCATTCTAACAAGTAGGAGATCATAGCTCATTGTGATTGTGATTTGCATTTCTTTGATGATTAGTGATATTGAGCATATTTTCATATACCTATTGGCCATCTGTATATCTTTGGAAAAATGTTCAGATCCTCTGCCCATTTTTTAAATCAGATTTTTTTGTTTGCTATTGAGTTGTATGCGTTCTATATACAATTTGTATATTAACCCTTAACAGCTGTATGATTTGTAGATGCTTTCTCTCATTCAGTCGGTTGCCGTTTCATTTTATTTACGGTTTCCTTTGCTGTGTAGAATCATTTTGGTTTGATAAAGCCCCATTTGTATATTTTTGCTTTTGTTGCCTTTGCTTTTGGTGTAAGAGCCAAAAAATCATTGCTAAGACTAATATTAAAGGAACTTACTGCCTTCGTTTTATTCTAGAATTTTTATGGTTCCAGATCTTTCATTCAAGTCTTCAATTGATTTTGAGTTAATTTTTGTTAATTCAGTAAGATAATGGTCCATCTTCATTTTTTGCAGGCTGACTGTCCAATTTTCCCAGCATCATTTATTGATGAAACTGACCTTTTTCCATTCTCAATTCCTTTGCCATAAATTAACTGTCCATATATGCTTGGGTTTATTTCTGGGCTTTCTATCTGGTTCCATTGATCCATGTGTTCACTTTTATATGAGTTTCATACTGTTGGATTACTGTAGCTTTGAAATGCAGTTTGAAATCAGAGTTTGTGATGTTTCCAGCACTGTTTATCTTTCTCAAGATTGCTTTGGCTATTTGGGGTTTCTGTGGTTCCATGCACATTTTAGGGTTGTTCTGTTTTTGTGAAAAATGTCATTTGAATTTCGATAGGGATTGCATTGAATCTGTAGATGGCTTTGGGTAATATGGACAATTTAACATTTCTTATAATCCATGAGCATACAATATCATTTATTTGTGTTTTCTTTGATTTCTTTCATTAATGTCTTATAATTTTCAGTGTATAGATCTTTTACTTCCTTTGTTAAATTTATTTCTGGGTATTTTATTCCTTTTAATGCACTTTGCACTTTCATAAATAGGATTATCTTCTTGATTTCTCTTTCTGATAGTTATCAGTACATATAAATCCAACATATTTTTGTATATTGATATTGTATTCTGCAGCTTTACTTGAGTTTGTTGATTCAAAATTTTTTTGATAGAGTCTGTAGGATTATCAGTATATAACATCTGTAAAGAGCAACAGTTGTATTTCTTCTTTCCAATTTGGATATCTCCTAATACGTTGTTTTAACTTATAAAACATGTTTAAATCATTTTGGTTTTATTCTCTTAGTACTGCTTGTATAAGAATTGAAAGGTTAGTGTCTTGAATTGTTTTTTCTCAATTGTTAAACCCAATGTTATATATATGAGATTTTTTTTGCATGGACAAAATACTTGTTATCAGTCTGGTTACCATGTTTACAGCTTAGATATAGTTTCTTATTGGAAACTGAGCTAACATTTAGAAAACAGAATTTAATTTTTTTATTTGATAGCATGATATATAGTGTCGGTATTCTTAACTTTCTCTCATGACCTATTATGAACCCTCAAATAAGATATCAGAGCAACTGTACCTAAAGGGTTGGATGATTTCAAAACGATCATAATTCTTTGTGTTATAAAAGCTGAGAATGGGAGAGTTTCTGTCCTCCATTAGGAATAGCCCTTTAGTTCATGCACTTATTTAACATAAAAGTTGTTAATATTTGGGGAATTAGAACATTCTTCCTACTACTCAAAGCAAAACAAGTTACTTCACTAGGCTCACATTTGATCTGATCTTGATGGACAATGACAAATTTTGAAATATTTGATCTGTATCCTTTCAGTTTGAGAAAGGAAGAAATAAAAAGATAGTAACTGTATATCCTTCCTGCTTCCATTTATTTGGCTTTTAGCTGAAGCTCTTTTTTTTTAAGAAAAAAGAATAGAAAATGCATAAATCTCAACAGTTTTACTGTTATTTTAAATTATGAAAACTAAAATTCCAAGTCACTTTAATTAGTATCTTGTATTTTAGATAAATCTGGGATCAGTTTTTGAACTTGGTGAATGTTGAGGTAATATTTATTATTAGAATTGTTTTTATATTAAGTTTATAGTTGTGGCTTGACTTTAATACGTTTTTTAAAAAGTAGTGTCTTAGCAGTGGCAGGAATTGGGACTGGAAATTAAATAGTCAACACATGATTAGTGATTTTATAAGGATATATGAAATTATCATTATAAGGATATATGAAATTAACTTCCTGTAGAAATAGGAAACAGAAACTCATAAGATAATGTAAAAAGTAGTATCTTGGGGTTTTTTTTATATGTTTTAAAATTCTGTTAAGGTAACACTTTTTTAAAAATTGAGATATAATTGACATATTAGTTTCACCTATATAATATAATGATTTGATATTTGTATATTAAGGTAATGCTTTTTTAAACTTTGTTTTTCTGTTTCTTAGGTTATTGAATTAGTTCAGAAATATGGCCCAAAAAGATGGTCTTTAATTGCAAAACATTTAAAGGGAAGAATAGGCAAGCAGTGTAGAGAAAGGTGGCATAATCATCTGAATCCTGAGGTAAAGAAATCTTCCTGGACTGAAGAGGAGGACAGGATCATCTATGAAGCACATAAAAGATTGGGAAATCGTTGGGCAGAAATTGCCAAACTACTTCCTGGAAGGTGCTTATATAAATGTATATATGTTTTTCTGTACTTAATCTTTTTTTTTTAAGATTTATTTATTTATGCACACAAGAGCTGGGGTACAGGCCAGAAATGTGGGGGGTGAGAGGATTCAACAGAGACAGAGTGGGGAACAGAACAGGCAAATTGACTGAAGTACACTGCTAAGGGGAGCAGTGGGCCAGTCAGGAGAGGTCTGCTGTGCCATGTGGGTTGCTCCCTTGCGGGCTGGGGATCGAACTCAGGCTGCAGAGGCTGCGGATTGCTTCATAGTGCGGTGCTTAACCCCTTAAGCCACCAGGGAGGCCCCTGTACTTAATCTTGATCATTATTGTGTCACTATTAAATATATTTACAAGCACCCCGTGATTTTTATTTGTAATTAAATATTAGACTGCATAATACAAGCAACCCATTGGGACTATTTGTAATAAACTATGAGGTGAGGGATAGAATTGCTTTTTAAATGATATATTTTATAGCAGCAATTTAGTCAATAAAATGATGGATTTTTAAATTATATGAACATTTACTACACTCCCAAAATCATGTTTATATATCAAAGCCAATTGTGCAGATCTTTGTATGCACTTGACTGAAATGGAATCTAAATTGACAAGCTTTATTTTGTTTTGGATTTTATGCATAAGATTGGAAAATAACAAGTACACTCACCGAAACAAACTGCTATGAAAGTGATTACAGAAAATTCAATTCTTAATTAATTATGGTATGATCAAGTCATGGAGTAGTTTATTCATCCATGTGGCTGAAAAAAATTTCCCTCACAAGCAGAGATGTATACTACAAGTGTAGTAAGTATACTACACATTGTACTGGTTCAAATATTTCCTAATAGTCTATGATACAGTAGACCAAAAACCTTGGGAAAATCTGTACTTCACTCAGAAATAATGCATTTGTTTTTTATTGCCATAATCTTTATGTGGTATTTCATAGTTTGTAAAGTGCTTTTACATATATTCTTAATCTTTATATGCTTGTGAAATATGCAAACAGTGCTGTTTTTTATTTTTTTATTGTATTTTTTTTTATCGAGGTAACATTGTTTTTTAACACTGTATATGACTGCTGTTTTTGTTTTATAGATAAGGAAATTAGAGCATAGTGTTAAGTTTTCATCTGTTACTGAACCTAATCTGGGCACTTCTGTGTTTCCAATCTCACTTTTCTTACTCTTCATAAAACCTAGCTTAGTACCTTAACATAAAGTAGTTTTTCAGTAATTGTATACTTTATGAAGGGTGGAATTCATACTACAAGTAATTGTAAAGATTTACATTTTTATAAAGGGAGCCATAGGTTATAAAAAGGGAGCCAATGGACTTTTCTTCCATAGATAGTTTGTTCCAAAAAGTAAAAAAAGTATGCTGAGATTCTGTAATTCGTACTTTACTTCTCATGACCATGTTTATTCCTGACTTTTAGCCCTTTACCGTCACTATGACCTTTTTCTACTCTTATATGGCTGACTCATTCTTGTCATTCAGCTTTTAGCTTGACTGTCATCTCACAGATGCCTCCCTGAACCATGTAATCAGAATTACTCTATTTCTCTTATCCTACTTTGCATAATATTTTTCTTTCTTCTTCTTCTTTTTTTTTTTTTTTTTTTTTATTTTTCTGTCCTTCCATGCTGTCATGCTGCTGGTAAGAATGATAGCTACATGAGGAGGGACTTTCTTTGCCTTATTCACTTTTATAAAATCTTCAGTGCTTGCCACTATGCCTGGCATATAGACATACATTAAAAAAGTATCTAATTTCACCACTTAAAATTTGTTTTAAGCACTTTGTATACTTTCTTTTAAAACTATACACTTTCATTTCTTAGGACTGATAATTCTATCAAAAATCATTGGAATTCTACTATGCGAAGAAAAGTGGAACAGGAGGGTTACTTACAAGATGGAATAAAATCAGAACGATCTTCAACTAAACTTCAACACAAACCTTGTGCAACTATGGACCATTTGCAAACCCAGAATCAGTTCTACATACCTGTTCAGGCACATACTTTTTTAATACCTTTATTATTTTAAAATTTTCTTCCTTGCTATATGGAAAGGTGTTTGGTTTCTTAATAGGGCAAATACAACATGTATTAAGGGGGATATAGACTTTTAAATTTCTAAACTGAAAATAAAAACAGGCTATAACTAACAGCTAAACCATTAGTGGAGGTTTATGTCTGTTGTTTTGATTGTTAAATATTTTGGAAACTAACTCATTAAGATGTTTCCTTTCATAATCTTTCATTAGTTAAGAAATGTAGTATGTGCATTTCTTAATACTATCATTCTTTGCGTCTTCATTTAGGATTAAAAACTAATGGTCTTCTGTGCTTTACAATCTATTATAATTTCTTTTTAAAAAGTTTTTGTTTTATTGAAATATTGCCTGTCTTTAACATGTAAATGTATACAAAATGGTTTAAAGGAGGAAATAGTAAATAATCATTCAAGCCATCATTTTGAGAAGTGTGATAAATAATTGGTCTTTGGCATTCTGCTTTGCTTTTCCTTCTAAATACCAATCAGTAGATTGGCTTCAGTCTTTGTTAGGGTCTTTAGAGTAGAGATTACCTAAGCTCAGAATAGGGCAAGCTCTGTTTCCTTAGAGTGAATTTTCCTACCTGCAAGAAATTAGCTTAGGAGTTTTTATAAGGTTCATTATATATTTTCCTGTTTACCTGTTTCATGCCATTTTTCATGTTGAGCATTTCTTGTTTCTTGTCACATAAGATATGAAGAGTGAGTCAAGATTTAATAGTATCTTCCAAAAGATAAAATTTGACTAGGTGTTAAAAATCTGTGTTAGTAGACTTCAGATTCTATGTTAAGTCCACTGATGGACATTATTTTTTAGACATAATTTTAAAAGAACCGCTTAAAAAAAGTAATGGCATTTTTAATTTACAAATTAGAAAATGTGATGACAGTGTGAGTTATCTACTGATACATAATACCTTAAGGTTTTTTATTGTCTGTTTCTTTACATTTTTCTTTAGAGTCCTAGATTTCAGCAGCATAAACTGAAACATTTTCCTTCTAGCTTAGAAAGTTTATTTAAATTTATTTTTTTAACTCATAGAAAGATAATTTTAAAAACTTATTGGGCCAGGGGAGTGTTTCAATGATCTAAAAATATGTTGTAAAGATAAGGATATTTCTTATACTTTAAGAATTGTTTACCTTATTTTACTGATTTTTTGAAAGGTTGATGTTCTAAGGCAAATAACAGAAGAAGCCTCTGTTCTCATTATCTTTCTACCCAGAGATTAGCATGGAGTGGTGGTAGGAGTTGAAAATATGAAATTGAAACACTTGCTTTAGATGTCTTTTTGAGTGCTTCATATGAATCAGATCCTTTTCTGAAAGATAGGAACACAATTGCTTTGTCTTTTCCAATAGATAGAGCAAAATGTCTAATAGTTGATTAAAAAATATTTGATGGCTGTTGTAGGTAGTAGGAAGACTGGTTAATCTAGGTCAAGTAGTTTTCATATTTCATCTGGGAAAAGATAGGTCTTTCTTAAGTGTCAATGACTTTTAATCAGTAAATTCTAAGAAAGATGCAGTTATTGGATATATTATAATAGGTATACATTTTAAAAGTTCATAAGCTACTTTCTGAGTTTTTAATGCTATATTGGTAGAGTTTTTGTGTTTTCCCTCAGAGTCAAAAAATGTATATAATATTGCATGTTATGATGTTTATGTTTTAATTTTTAGATCCCAGGTTACCAATATGTGTCATCTGAAGGCAATTGTGTAGAACATGTTCAGACTTCTGCTTTTATTCAGGTAATTTTTTATTTATAACTACCCCCCCCCCACCAGCCAAAAATGCTTTGGAAATGTATTTTTGAAAGTCTATGCCTCTTTCCTTATTTATAAAACAAAACTAGAACAGAAATAATTCTCTCTGAATATCATCTCAATAAGCACTAAAAGTAAGTAAATAATACCTGTTTACTTTGAATATTATAACCTTACAGGAAAAAGCTGGTAAGTGTGTTTGAGAAACGTAAATTGTACAAATGTAACGTAGTTAAGAGCACCAATAAGGTAGTTTTTTTATTCCAACTTAAAGTTTCATGTTGTGAATGAACACATTTTTGCTAAATTGGATAGAATATGTATGTGTTAAGTTTCAGTAAATTAAAACATACTCCAAACATAACAATATAAGTTTTTAAAAATATATTTAAATTTCCGAAATCTTTTCTTTCAAATTGAAAATATTTACCAGTAGCTCATTAAATAACAAAGGAATTGTGATAGTGCATATTTGGAATTTATCAGTGTTAGACTTTATTCGAGAAAAAATTTTATGTTACATAAAAGAAAATAAAAAATTAAAACACTGATTACTAAGTAGCTAATTAAGTAGCTAACTAATTAGTAACCTGTTTTTGTCTTTTTACTTAATTATTTTAGCAACCCTTTGGTGATGAAGATCCTGATAAGGAAAAAAAAATAAAGGAACTTGAATTGCTTCTTATGTCAGCTGAGAATGAAGTCAGAAGAAAGCGAGTTCCATCAGTAAGAAATAAGTTTAAATGTTTAGGTTTTACTGTTCTATGCTTTATATATTTTTACTGTTTTCATTGACATTGACTTTCATGTTGACAAGTGGAAAGCATATTCAGTATGACTTCAGATTTAATATGGACTTAAAATAGTTTCTGATTTGCAAATTTGAGGTTGCCTGGTAGAATATGCGTCTCTTTGAATGTATTTTACAACATCCTGTATTAAGATGCTTCTTGAGTCATAAATGTCAAGTTGACTTAAGCTGTGGTTTAGATTAGGCTTTGGTTTCTTTTTTTTTGACATTCCATGTAATGATGCCTTTAATAGAAAAAAATGAAGTTTGTAAAAGGATTTAATAGATGAGTACAAATTTATGTGCTCCAAAATTACTTTTGTTGTCTTTGAAAATTTTTTCCTATTTACTATGTTTAGATTTCAGTAAATTGGAAAAAAATTAATAGCAGTATGGTAAAAGGGGACATTTAGATATTAGGCTTTCTAAAGAAATTTTTATATGGATGTTGGGTTTTGGTAACCAGGTTTGAAAATTATTGTCTGAGATTGGGTTGATGAGAGTAGGTAGGAGTATTAAATTAGGGTAAATGGTAATCATTCTACCTCAGTTAAGAAGGCTATGATAGATGGGCCTTTTGCTTTTGAAAGGGAGACAAGTTACCAATCTTTTTAACTTGCTTTCTGAAGCTGATTCTCATCAATATCTGTTTGAAGAAGGAGATTGGAGAGTCTAGTAAAGTTGTTACCCTCAGTAGAATAGACTCCATACACATATAAAGTTTATTCTTCTTAACAATTATGTGAGAACAGTAATTGCTGTTTTAACTGAGTGTCCATTATGTTCCACTATTGTAGGTGTTTTATATGTATTCTTAGTTATTCTTATATTAACTATGTTCTAGCTCGTGGTTTATTGTTAGGGATTCAGATTTAAGTATGTATTGATTGCAACCCTATATTTTTTCCAGTAGGTCCAGTAACGTCTCTCTTTAAATCTTTTTCCCACCTGCAAGTTCAATTAAAATACATGTAATTTGGAAGCTATTTACAGAAAGGGATTGTAAACTCAGAAGACAACTAGGCTTATGATATAAGATTGTTTTAATTTATTTTTAGGAATCTTTCAAACATGTGGAATTTGTTATGCAATAATGTTGAAAACTTTCCACCTTAATTTAAAACATAGTATTTTGTTATTATGAATCTCTAGCACATTCTAGTAATTTTGATTTTTTAATAGTAATAGGTACCATTTACTCAGTGCTTCCTATGGCCTGGGAAATGTGCTTTTTTACATTATGGTAGCTACTAACCACATTTAATTTTAAATAAAATTTTAAAATTCAACTCCCATTTGCACTAGCCACATTTTGATTGCTCATACCTGTGGCCCCATGTTGAGCAGATTTATTTATATATTTTTTCTTTTTCCAATAGTTTCATTGCGATATAATTGACATATACCACTGTATAAGTTTAGGGTGTATAGCATAATTATTTGCTATATATATGTTGTGAAATGTTTGCTATGATAACATCCCATCCATCATCTCATATAGGTAACAAAAAAAGGAAAAAGAAAAAAATGTTTTTTCCCTTATACTGAGAACTCTTAGGGTTCAGTCTTCTTAATAACTTTCAAAATACATGTTGTTTCTCAATCATGGGTCTTTGAGGTCTCTTTTTTAATGAGATATTAGGAAGCTACAATCATATGCTAAGTAAATTGCTCAGTGTACATCTGATACAGATCCTGACTTTAGAGGATTTACTCTGCATTGGGACCATAGACAAGAAACAGGATACAATGTGATAAACTATGTCACAAAGTTATTTGGGAGTACATAGGAGAGTTGTCTAATTAATAATTAGATACTCTGGGGAGGGCCTATGGGGGAATTTGAGCTCAGACTTAAAAGACAGGATATGATTGTGTATTAACAAGGTAGATGAGTTAGGACACTGCTGTAAATGGAACAGGTGAAAGTATATAATCAGATGGAATATTTTCTAATATTGAATTGTATCTTAAAAGTTTCCCTGGTCAATTGGTAGGGGTGAGGGGCATTTTAGATAGGGAATAGCAGTACTTGTACCCCAGAGTCAAAGACTAACTAATCAGGGAATTGCAAGCACTATAGTACGAAGAGGGTTGGAAGATGAAGTTTAAAAGGTAGAAAGAGGCCAGATTCTAGGAATTTATGGTTTATATTGTATATTCATACTTGTTTTATCTCGCCATGATTATAGATTAAAAAAATTAGTTAGAAAAAAGAAGTATGGTCAAGATACAAGGTTTAATGAAAAAAATTTATATCAATTTTGCAAGGGACCATATATTTGTCAGTATATTTTTAGCTGATATATTGTGAAATATGTTGTTCTAGAAAAAAATCTCCTACTTAAAAATCCAAATTTTTGCTTAGGTTGAGAATGACAAAATAATACTCAAATTTCTTTTGTATTTTTAGCAGCCTGGAAGCTTTTCTAGCTGGTCTGGTAGTTTCCTCATGGATGATACCATGTCTAATACTCTAAATAGCCTTGAGGAGCACACTAGTGAGTTTTACAGTATGGATGAAAATCAGACTGTGTCTGCGCAGCAGAATTCACCCACAAAGTTCCTGGCCGTAGAGGCAAATGCTGTGCTGTCCTCTCTACAGACCATCCCAGAATTTGCAGAGACTCTAGAACTTATTGAATCTGTAAGTCTGAAATCACAATTTTCAAAAACTTACTTTTAGTGACATGGTTGATGTTCAGAAACTTTAGTGGACCCTGACCAGTTTTATGGTTAGCATCACTTTGCATACCATACTTAACTTTTGTTCTATTTTGCAGTGACTTCTGGCAAAGGCTTTTTTTTTTTAAATATTCTTTCTCAGTTTTATACCTTGTATAGCATTGTTTTTAACTTTGTACAGATTTTTAAAAATTAAAATTTTAACAATTCACTTTTTTATTTCATAAATCATACAACTATATTAGAGAGGGTTGGAAACTAGAGAAAACTGCAAAGAAGAAAATTAAGATCCTTCATAAACCCAGAGTTAATAATTAGATGTATTTCCTTTTAGGCTGTGTTCGATACATATAAAACACACGTATATGCCTAAATTTTAATTTATTGGTTTTTTTTTTTTTTAAAGCCAATGTTCTTTTTTTTAAAAAAAAAGATTTATTTGTTTATTTATACAAGTACTGGGTACAGTCAGAAGCACAGGAGGGTGAGAGAATTCACCAGAGCCAGAGCAGGGAACAGAATAGGCAGAGGGACTGAAGTACACTGCTGAGGGGAGCAGCGGGCGGCAGAAGAGGTCTGCGCGCCATGTGGGACCCTCGCCAGCAGCCTGGGATCTAACCGGCGCTGCAGAGGCTGTGGGCAGCTTCGCAGCCCAGCGCTCAACCGCTGCACCACCGGGGAGGCCCCTATTATTTTTATTTTTTAAACATCCTTGTTTATTTTTTCACGATATAGGGCTTCTCCCCTCAGGTGAGATTGCTGTAGTTTTTCCACCACCAAAGCACCCACAGTCCTCTACCATATTCCATTGTGTTCCCCTCTCTTCTGTTTTCTACTCTCCCCTCTTCTCTCCCCATCTCTTCTCCTGAATGTCTCATATCTACCATCTACTTTCAAGGGTAGGTCTCTCACAGTTTGTCTTTATCTGATCCTTTGTTTTTTTTTTTTTTTAGATTACACATATAAGTGAAACCATCTTTCTCCATCTGAGTCACTTCACTTAGAATAATCCCTTCTAGTTCTGTCCATGTTAATAAAAATGGCATGAGTTTATCTTTTTTCATAACTGAGTAGTATTCCATTGTGTATATATCTGTATCTATATAGATATAGATATATCATACCTTGATCCACTCATCAGTTCTGGGGCATTTAGGTTGTTTGCATATCTTGTATGCTTATATTTTTAAACCCAATATACATTTATGCATTATGCTTGTAGACTTTTTTCTCCACATTATATCATGAACATGTCTGTGTTCTTGTTTTTTAAGTTTTCAGTGGCTTCATAGTATTCTATGATATGAATGTAACAAAATTTATCCAATATATAGTTATTAATGGACACTTAGGTGGTGTACAGTACAGTTTTTCAGTTTTACAAATTACAGAACATATTACATAAAGCTTTGTGCAAAATCTTAATTATGTCCTGAAATTAAACTAATCTCCTAGATTAAAGTATATGACTGTTTTGAAGGTGTTTCATATACATTACTTAATGATTATGTAGAGTGATAGTATTTTTTCAGATGTGGAATATATGATAATTGTACTCTTTGATAATTATTGAAAATAATGTGTTCCTTTTAATTTAAAATACTTTGGCATTCAGCTTTAGTTACTGGATTAGTTGAAATATTATTTTGGAATGTTGCAAATTGGAGTTTTAGTAAAACTATAATCTCTTCCTCTCAAATGGTCTTGCTTTAAAAATGATGGGCAGGAAAAGTCTATTTCTACTGATAAAAATGAGTAATTAACTATTAATATTATCTTTCTTTCAAGATCAGATTTAAAGAGGTGATAGAATTACTTTAGTTAATAATTTATTGCAGGATCCTGTAGCGTGGAGTGATGTTACCAGTTTTGATCTTTCTGATGCTGCTACTTCTCCTGTGAAATCCACCCCAGTTAAACTAATGCGAATTCAACACAACGAAGGAACCATGGAATGTCAATTTAACGTTAGTCTTGTACTTGAAGGGAAAAAAAACAGTTGTAATGGTTCAGACAGTGAGGCTGTTCCTTTGACATCACCAAACGTGACCAAGTTTAGCACCCCACCAACCATTCTCCGAAAGAAGAGAAAAATGCGAGTGGGTCAGTCCCTAGGCAATGAACTTGGTGACGGGTCATTCAATGACGGCAATAATACAGCACTAAGACACACACCGGTGAAAACACTACCATTTTCTCCTTCACAGGTAGTAGTGTTGTTTTTGTTTATGTTTCCAAATGTGGATAAGATAGATTAAATTAGATCTTTAATATATTAGCAATTTATTGTTTGCTAAATCATAAAGATGAATAATGTGTTTGTATATAATTGCTTACTGTAAGATTTCATGTGTCAGAAGGTTTTCCAGGGATATCTGAAAGTACCTATTTCTCCTGTAGTTATGTCTTTGGGCAGCAGATAGTTATATTAGGGCGATTTACCTGTTAATGAGTGCAGTGTTCCTGGCTGTGTGCTAAACATTTTTAATTCTCTTTCAAAGACCCTTCGGAGGTAGGTGGAATGAAATTCGGAAGTTAAATGGTTTGTCCAAGGTTACAGTTAGTAAGAGATGGAACTGGTATTTATTGAAAGTATCTTGACAGAAGTTAAAAAGTTTTATGGGATAAGAAAATTTAATGGTCAAATAAACTTGGAGGATCCTGGAAATTATTGGAGACAATTACTATTTTGACTTTGGGAAGATGAGTAGGATTTGGCAGTATACAACCACTGTGTTCTCTGAAAATTGCCCCTCCACCCCATGCTTTAGGGGATGCCATTTACATAGACTACAATGTGAATAGTGTTCCCCCAACTCCCACCCCAGCCTCAGAGTTAAAAAGCATCCTCATAAGGAGAATCAGATTTGGGCACACTGCCAACTTTTGCTTAAGTGTAAAGTTTAGGTGTAAAGTGACTGGAAATGTGAGACATGACTACAGAAGATCTATTTACTTGTCAAAGACTTTGGATTGCATCCTATAAATGTGTACCCTTCTGCAGGGTTTTAAGAGAGTGACTGCTAATTTTAGGGTTAAATGTATTGCAGATATCAGGAACCAGAAAGTGATGTTAGAATTCATTCCAGTTATAAGTAACCTTAAAGCAGTTATCACTTCTTCCTACCACTGCTTCTAATTTGTTGGCTACAAAAATAAAGCAGTATTTCACAGTTGTAAGTAAATTAAGATCTAATGAATAACTTGTGTCATTTGGAAAGTGGACTCTGATATCAATTTTGACTGCTCAAAGCTTGTCAGAGCTGTGTTCTAATAAATAGGCAAATTTGCCAGGTAGCTATATTTTTGTCATATAGCACTATATGAAATTTTGAATTCAAAATATTCTCATAGAAAGGGGACTTATGATCGCTTATTAATAAAATAAAACTTAGTACAGCAGCTATTAGTGGTATCTATAGATTCCTATTTGATTATACCCTGTTTAAAAAATTTTGTATTTTGTTTTTTTTTTTTTTAAAGATTTATTTATTTATGCATATAAGGGCAGGGATATAGGCCAGAGGTTGCAGGGCGTGGGTGGGGGAAGGTGGGTGGGTGAGAGGATTCACCAGAGACAGAGTGGGGAGCAGACCAGGCAGACTGACTGAAATACACTGCTGAGGGGAGCAGTGGGTGAGCCATGACCCACACTGCTGGGCCATGTGGGTCAGCTCCCTGGCCAGGGATCAACTCTTGCTGCAGTGGCTGCAGATTGCTTCATAGTGCTGAGACTTAACCCCTTGCACCACCAGGAAGGCCCCTGTATTGTGTTTTATAACAGTAATAAACAAAAAAATTCCTGCCCTTACGGAGTTTAATTTACACTGAGTGAAATATAAATGTAGTATTACCGATAATTCTTTGCCAAGAGGAATGGGGAAATAATTTTTTAAAATTATCAGTTTAATAATTGTGTAGGGATTTTGCCAGCCTAGAAAATATTTCTAAACTCTCTTTTTCAGTTTTTCAATACATGTCCTGGAAATGAACAAATTAATATAGAGAATCCTTCATTTACATCAACCCCTATTTGTGGGCAGAAAGTTCTCATTACAACTCCTCTTCATAAAGAAACAACTCCCAAAGATCAAAAGGAGAATGTGGGGTAAGTAGGTATTAAATAATTTTTAGAGAAAAAGGGAGCACACTTTTAAGAGTAGATTAGCTTTTTTCTGTTTATACACTGATCATAATCCCTATGCATATGGGACTCAGAATAAGAAAAAAAAACACCACCTTTTATTCTATCTCTAGGAGACTGAAAACCAACAAAATGTAATGTAAAACTTTGATCTCAAGCAAAATAACATTTTTAGTACTTTTCCTATATTAGTCTTTTTTGCTGTTTTTTAGATAATTGGGTTGGAATAAGAATTAGTTTTATCAGGCATTCTTTACAATACACTGTAATGTTTAAATAAAGCTTGTATATGTGCAGAAAAATGAGTGTGTACTTTAATCATGATTTTGCTTTCCTTAACTCATGAAATCAAATTTTGACTATAATACCAATATCTAAATGATTGGATAGGTTTAGAACACCTACTATTAGAAGATCTATATTGGGTACCACACCAAGAACTCCTACTCCTTTTAAGAATGCACTTGCTGCTCAGGAGAAAAAATATGGACCTCTTAAAATTGTGGTATGTATACTTTTTTTTTTTAAAGAATATTCCTGATTTTTAATAAAACATAAATTGTGATTTTTCTTAATTTTTCACATTTTAAAGATGTTCTCTGATAAAAAATTTTATCTCTTGATTTATGTGTTTGAATTTATGTTAATCTTTTCCTTTGATTTGTAAATAAATCTTTGCTTGACTTATACTGAATTCTTGTATCATCTAGAGAATGCATATCAAGTGTCACTGTAACCCTTTTTTAATACTAAAACTTTCCATTTAGTAGGTACCTTTAATAGAAACCTACCTTTTAGTTGTGGTTACCTGTAGTAGAATAAAATATTTTAATATTTTGGTATACATATATACTTTCCTAATGATATCGATGAAACTGATTGGTCAGGAGACTTCTCTAAATTTCAGTTTCCTCTTCTATGTGGTAGAGATTATAAAACAATCCTAGAGGGTTGTGAAGATAAATGAAGTAATAGAAATAAAGGAATTGGTGCTGGATTTCAAGTAGTATGTGTTTAGTTGGTGCTATTGTGTAATAGTGGTGGCAGCAATAGTAGTTTATGAATTAATAGAGGTGAGAAGTGTTTTCTGTGGGTGTATGTGTGTATAAAACTTTGAAGTACTTTAGATGAGCCATGGGCATTCAAATTCTAGGCTGATACAGATTTCTGATAAATTAGGCTCATTAGAAATAAAATATATTTAAAATATTGGTTACATCAAGGGTACTTTAGTTATGTTCTATTTTTAGTCACATTTTGAATAGATTAATAAAGTCTGGCTTACTTGATTTAATCAACTTAACACCTAAAGCCATGTCACACTCTCAAATCTTCTAGTCTGTTTTTGGAAGTTTGGTTTTAAATGGTACATACAAGATTGGTCAAGTCTTTTTGTCAGCTTAGCTCTATACTCTTGTGAACAGTCACAATCTCTCTAGCACTCTCGAGATTTTTGTTTATGCATATACACATAACAAAAATGAGATCACATTTTATGTACTCTTTGTAACCTTTTAAATAAGTTATTATTACATTAACAAATGTATATATTTATTCCATAATTTAAAGTTTGTGTAATATTTCATTGCATCAAATTACCTAATTGATTTAACTAAAGTGTTTCAGTATTTTGCTGTTTGTTTTTAAAATTCATCATTAGGGCCTCCCCGGTGGCGCAATGGGTTGAGCACATCACTGTGAAGCTGTCCACAGCCTCTTTAGCACGGGTTCTATTCCCTGCCGGACAGGGAGATTCCCACATGGCAAGGCAGATCTCTCCTGTCTTGCCCGCTGCTCCCCTCAGCAGTGCTTTCTGTCCATCTGCCTGTTCTGCTCCCTGCTCTGTCTCTGGTGAATCCTCTCACCCTCCTGCACCTCTGGCTTGTACCCCAGCTCTTGTAAAAATAAAATAAATCTTTAGAAAAATAAAAAAAAAAATCATCATTAATCCAGCAAATATTGACTGAGTACCTAATAGGTGCCAGGCACTGACTAGGTTTTGAGGATATAATGTTGACTCTGTCTGATATGGTTCCTCCCATAGGGGTGGGTAGCCTAATTGGTGTAAGACAAATAAACAGTTATTTGAAGGCATTTGAAAGTTTCACAGTGCCTCAGGTCATTTGGTCAACATTTAAATTGAATAAAAATGATTATTTTTGGGCCTCCCCGGTGGCACAGCGGTTGAGCGCTGGGTTGCGAAGCTGCCCGCAGCCTTTGCAGTGCCAGTTCGATCCCCGGCTGCTTCCCGGCCACTGGAGGAGGGTCCCGCATGGCGTGCAGACCTCTCCTGCCACCCGCTGCTTCCCTCAGCAGTGTACTTCGGTCCTTCTGCCTGCTCTGCTCCCCGCTCTGGCTCTGGTGAATCCTCTCACCCTCCCGCGCTTCTGACTGTACCCAGTGCTTGTATGAATAAATTAAAAAAAAAATAAATAAATAAAATAAAATAAATCTTTAAAAAAAATGATTATTTTTGCAATAAGACATAAGAAATGAGGTTTTTTTTTAAAGATTTATTTTTATATAGGCATACAAGAACTGGGGTATAGGCCAGACGTGTGGGGGATGAGAGGATTATATATATTTGTTTTTAAGCAGAATTTTGTTATGGTAGTAGGTGTTTGATATAATTTATTTTTTTTTTTAACCTATGGGGTATGCTTAGCTATTTAATATAAAGGTAGATATATAAATTTTGAGACTGTTTAACTATTCAGCTCACACTGAAGTTTCTGTCTTTCAGTAAACCTGCCCTTTCACACTCCAATACAAAGACACATACCCTCCTGTACTCCTACCCTTCCCACCCCTCACATGCGTGCATGCTTGCACTTTTTCAACACTTTGTCTCAGCTCTAAGTTTAAAGCTAGGTGTACAAAGAATGGTACAGATGAAAAAGATGTGATCAGTACTCTTAGGTAGTTCACACTCTTAATGGTAAGAAACATATTAATTAATAATGACACACCTAATGAGTACAGTAAAAGAATAATAGCTAAAGTAGTCCTGATTACTTCTTTATTTCCTATTTTTATATAAAAATGCTTGGTAAGTAATCTCTTGTCTGTTTAATTCTAAAGATCCTGATTGAAGCAGGAACTATAATAGCTTCCCCCAAAATGGAATTTTTTGTTAGTAGCCTGAAGTGAAAGAAGTGCTATGCTTTCTTCACTTTGTCCAGTGCCTATAATGTGTAATATTTTTTTTTATAAAACTGATTATTTAATATAGTTGGGTATCTATAGGAACTGGGAAGAAAATTATATAGAGATGAGAATCTATGAAAAATAGGTTTCTATATATGGGGAGAAAGGAAATTGCTATAAAAGACATAAAAAAATTTTTAAAACAATTTAGTCACAGCCACTTGCCTTCTTGGAAGAAGATATTCGGGAAGTTTTAAAAGAAGAAACTGGAACAGACATATTTCTTAAAGAGGAGGATGAATCTACTTACAAAAGCTGTAAGCAAGAGGTAACTTTTAGTTTTATTGTTAATAGAAGCCATAATGTGTCCAAGTGACATTACCATAAAGTTTCTATTATAAATTGTTTTATTTTAGCATACTCCTGTGAAGAAAGTAAGAAAATCACTAGTCTTAGATAATTGGGAAAAAGAAGAACCAGGTACTCAACTGTTGACTGAAGACATTTCAGAGATGCAGGTTTGTAAAGAATTTTTTAGTTAATAGTTGCTTTAAGTTCTAGTTTGTTACTTGTTATGTGGCCAGTTCATTAGAGACTTATGAAAAGTCCCCTTTAGTAGTATTCTGCCTAATTCATAGAAAAACTATTAGCTATAAAGAATATTTACTTATTGTATTTTATATTTTTTTGTTTTGAGAGGAGTAAGCCCTCTTACGTATGATGTCAAAAAATGGCAATTCTGAAAATGTTAAATTTAACTTATCTCTGATTCATTTATGAAATACTTAATTTTACTACATTACTAGAAGCTATATCAGAGCCAAAAGCTTTCTTGGAGGGAAATGAATAGGGCTTCCACTACCACTTACTCAGTAGCCCCTCAGTTTGTCTCCATTTTAGAAGTAGTTATTTTTTTTCCTCTTTCTTTTTTCCTCTCGTAGTCAGAAAATATATTTACAACATCTTTATTAATGATACCATTATTGGAAATACATGACAATAGGTGCAACCTGACTCCTGAAAAACAAGATATAAATTCAGCAAACAAAACATATACATTTAATAAAAAGAAACCAAACCCTAACACTTCCAAAGTTGTCACATTGGAAAAGAATCTTCAGGTATGGATTTCTGCATTTCTTTTAGTGATTTGATTTTTTTTTTTGTTTATTCAATTATCACTTTGGACTTATTGGTCACAAATTATGCATTTTTTAAAATTCAAAATTGACTACAGTAACTAAATGGTCACCATTATTTTGTCCCTCAAATTAGATTGGAATTTTCAGAGACTCATCATCAGGGTATACATATAAATTAAACTATTTAATTTGTAGCCACAGACTCTTCTGGTGATTTCTTAAGCACAATTTCTTTTTTAAACTGAAAATATCTAAGTCCCTTCTGGAACCTCATCTCCTAATAAGTATTAATAGCCTTAATAGCTATTTAGGAAGAGTAAGTGGTTGGAAGCAGTTTTAGTTTGATTTTGTTGGTATAATTGTTTCCAGTGAATTTTTTGGCTCAGAAATTGTAAAATAAAATCCTTTTTTCCCCCAGAGCTAAGTACCTAGTATGTAGCTGCAAATGAAAGATGGAAATTTTTTTACTTCATTATCTCAAGAGTTCAACCCAGAGAATTTTAGAGTTAATTGAGAAGGGAAGTTTTCTTCTTTATACCGGCAGCATTGGCATTCCTAACATTTAAGCTTTCCTTGAAAACATCTTTAGCTGTCAAATGTGGTCACCTCATCTCTATCTTGAGCTGCTGCTCTTCAAAGAGCCATGTACAACATTCATTTCATGCGTCTAAATTGATTTGATTTCCCAGCATTTAACACAAAACTTTTCAGAAAAATTTGTTACAGAGCAGGTATTATCTATAATGTAGTAACCTTTGTAAGAAGGGAAAAAAATGATGAAACAAATGTAAACTTGACTTTGGTTATGAATTTATTTCCTAATTTGTAAGACATAAAGCATCTTTGGCTCATTTTTTGACATTGCATCCTCTCTTTAAATATTTTGCAAAATGTTGAAGCAATAAAGACATTTCTTTCCGTGTTAAGATTGATTTGATTGGGGGGATGTTGTGGGGGTAAAACTTTTAAACTGCTTTCACAGGCCTTTATACAATATAGATAGCTGAAAAATGAACTTTAAGAAAATTGATTATAAATATTTCAATATGTATTTTTAAATTGTAACATTTAAAAAGAATCAATGCCATTATCAAAATATTTCTACAGTAATTATGATCAAATAAACAAAGTAATTGACTTTTAAAACCCTAATTATGCAGTATTATGGGTAGTTATTTTAGTTAATTTTCACATCACTATTAATATTTTCTTCCTAGTCAAATTGTGAATGGGAAACAGTGGTGTATGGGAAGACAGAAGACCAGCTTATCATGACTGAACAAGCAAGAAGATATTTGAGTACTTATACAGCTACCAGCAGCACTTCAAGAGCTCTAATATTGTAATTGTTATTAAAACTGATGAAATACTCCACTCCCTTAATGTATACGATGCTAAATTAGGTTGCAATGAAATTTTTGTGAATGGTTTTTAAAGTTTTAATACAGCCCTAAAACGGTTTGCATCTTTTTTTCATATTGGGCAGCAGAAAGCCAAGCCACTAAGTAAGGGGAAGGCAGTTTCATAATATATTTTTTAAGAGATAAGATTTTTTAAAATGATTTTTAAAGAACAGGATGGAAAAGTCATATTAGGATGTTTATGAGCTTCTAAAAGTCAATTCTCATATCTTTTCTTCAGAAGATAGGTGTCGCTACTCTTGATGGCTGCGGTTTGGTTACAAATAGGTTTATAAGTATATATGATTTCTGAAATTAGTCTATGTATGGGGAAGCAGCATGGTTTTATGAAGTACTTTTTTGTCCTCATGCTGATCTACATAGGCTACCATTTACAAAGAAACACATAGAAAGGAATTTAAGGAAGGATGGAAAATTGCACTACTAAAGGTATTTTTCAAAAACAGTAAAAGTAACTACAGTGTTAAAATGTATTTATTTGAATGTAGTACTAAACAAAAACATTGAGAAGTGTTTTTTCCTTATTAGTAAAAGAGTCAGTATTTTCATAAATCTCAGAAGAGCTGAGAGTTTTGTTGAATGTATTGTACAGTATGTAGGAGCAGGAAAACTTTGTAAATTGGAAAGAAGTCTGTTTTTATAATTTATTTTCATTTTAAAAGCTTAAATGTAGATATTTATACCTATACAGAGAGTTTCTAGAAGCCAGTATTGTTGCCTCATATTACAACTGACATAGTAAAGAACAATTTTGACTTTTAAGTATGAGACAGTAGTGAGTTATAGCTGCAAAGAATACAAAATCTATACTGTATGTCACATCTACCTAAATATTGCACTATGCCCTTTAAATCATGTTGGTTATAAAGTAGTTCTAAAAATGTACTAAATAATTTAATATTTTCTTTTTAAATTATATGGGGGGTCATATAAATTAATCTGGTGATTTGTATATTTGTTTGAAATTTTTGCATTTTGTTTAAAAATATGGTACTTTAAAAATATGGTCCCTAAAAACAGTCTGCACTTAGTTTACTACATTTACTCAATGTTTCAGAAGTAGAGAACATTATCTTTTATTTATAAAAATATTTTGTCCTTTTGTAAGTGTTTTGTGTTTCTGCACAGGTTACAACAATTGCTTCAGTTGCCTGTTTTAGCTGTTTGCACTTATTTTATTTCTTTTTGAAAGAATATCTTTATTTGCTTTTGTGTAGAGATTTTATGTAATTTTTTTTGAAACATATAATGGTGTGCTGTCAATTTAAACACTGACAGGTAAATAGAATTGTACACTGTAGTTTTAATTATTTATAATTGACACACTCTCTCCCTCTCCACTCCTGAAGTATGCTGCTATAGAAAATAGCAGAATCGGCTTGCTGCTATGAGAGAAGGAAAGAGCGACCACCACTTGCACTGTGTGAAAAGATAAAAAGCAAATGATGGCAAGTTCTCAAGTTAACTTAATGGAATCAACCATTACCAGGCAAATTCTTGCAAATACCAAAATACTATGCCTTAAAAAGAAAACAAAAAAAACAGCTTAAGATTTTCTGATGTTTTATGTTAGTAGAAATGGAAATACTAAGTATTTTAATTCCTAGCTCTTGAACAATAAACCTGAAAAGGGTTTTAAGCTCTTTAAATCCATTTGCTGGTTTTTGCATGTTACATGTAGTGAGAAGTAAGGAAAATGTGTGGTACTAAGATTATGCCTTGTTGATAACAAATGGATGAACCAATTTGAGTCTTAGCATGTTTGTTAAGTATATGTTGATTGCTTCCTAATTAGTGAACTTCTCACAGAAATTTCACTTTGTAAAACCAATGATTGTAGTAAAATCATACTGGATCATTTCAATTTCAGTTACCTTGAACTAATAGTACATAATGGTTTTTTTTTTTTTTTTTTTTTTTTTTTAGTGTAGCCCCTTGCTGGTTTATGTACATAGTCTCCAATCACCAAAGTCTAATATTTTGGAAGAGCTATATATTTTTAAAACATAATTTTGCTTGAGCATTAAGTTATCTCAAATATAATATATTGACAGATAAGCTTGGGCTTTTTGGACATAGTATATATTTGGTATTGGTTGAATCTTCCAGTTAAATGCTTTGTTGCTTTTTGCAAGGAAATTTTTAATGTTAAACATGTCAGGCATCTTAAGTCACCTTTATACTGTTGTGTTCATTTGAATTTCTTTCAGTATGTTATATAAATGCCAGACAAACATGTAGCAGCTATACTTGCATGGAAACTGACTACACATATATAGTACTGCATTTCAGTTAATACAGCAACTACCCTGACTAAATTGAGTTTTTTAATGGATGGAAAACCTTCCCATTGTAAGAAAATCTTGCATTCAATGTTCACATACAAATAAACAGTAAAAATAAAGTATCTGTGTACAACTGATTTGGCATTGCTCATTTCACTTTGTTTTATGATATTGATTGAAACCTTTATGACTTATCCCAACATTTTGTTCTTAAGGCCTAAATTTTTCTCCTTTAGAGTTTTCTTTACAGGTGACTTTATGTTAAAACAAATTGACCTTTTCTCAAAAAATAGCAGTGCTTGTATTTCTTGAGCTCATTCGGAGTTATATTTTCAACTGACTTTTAGATATTTCCATACAATTCTTGTGTCAACACCTTAAGTTGCCTTCCCTTCTATTGCCCAGTGAGAAATCTCCTCCCCCTCCCTAACTTTCTAAACTGAAATCTGTTATAAATTCTCAACTATTGCTCTAATTCCATTCCTTCATCTCTTACTTGGATTATTGCACTAATTGCTCTGATCTCCATTTTATAGAAATACCAGGAAACTGGTGGCATCAAGGTGTCACCTGGGTAAGACCAACTGATTCACCCAGGTGTGTGTGTGTAAAGTATTATTTGCCTTGGTGATTCTTCAACCAGATTTTACCTTTAGCTTCCCAGACTTGGAAATCTGATGAATTAACCCACTAAAGATGAGCATACTTTCAGAAAATGGCTTATATCAAGTTTGTGAAACCAGATACTTGAAACCAGAATGCAAGTCTATTAATTTACAGTGTGAAATATAACCTGAGAAAAAAAGTACATTCTCTCCATATATGTAAGCATGAAGAAAGAAATATAAAAACACACATATCTCTCCTATTTAAGGATTTTTCATAGTTGTTGCCTAAATAATGATTATTCTTTATTTTGTAATCTGGGCCTGGTGACTTGCATCCTAAATTATGCATTCAACAAATATGTTTCATGCCCCCTACTTTTATGCCTGTGTTTATAATGTTCTTCCTACATGGCTGCTTTTATTTATCTCCCTCCTTAGCCTGTTAAAACCTTAACTTTAGCACATATATCTATGAATCATTTCCCCATGATCCTAGGGCTCTGTAAAACTTTCCCACTATACTGTGTGTTTTGAAGAGTAGTGAGTCGCTATTTATAGGTTCTGTGTTAAAGAAATCTTAGTGTTAAACTGAAAGAATTTATTTATTTATGCATACAAGAGCTGGGGTACAGGCCAGAGATGCAGGGATGAGAGGATTCACCAGACACAGGGAGGGGAACAGAAAGGCAGACTGAAGTACAATTCTGAGGGGAATAGCAGGCGAGACAGGAGAGGTCTGCTGCGCATGTGGGTTGTTCCCTGGCTGACTGGGGATTGAACTTGTGCAGCAGAGGCTTCAGATTGCTTCATAGTTTGGTGCTTAACTCCTTGTGCCATCAGGGAGGCACGGGATATTAATTTTGTGCAGAAGATTAGAATAGCTCTTAGTTATCTGCGTGAAACCAGTTTTGTAGTCAACTTACTGTATTTCATTAAAATCTTTTAGCTCATAACTGTAATTTCCTGCTCAATTTATCCATTTGTAGAGTGATAGACTTTGCAGTCAATCAGACCTTTAATTATAATTTAAAACATGATAGTTTTTTAAGATTTTTTTTTAAAGATTTATTTATGCATACAAGAACTTGGGTACAGGCCGAGGTGTGGAGGGTGAGGGGCTAGAGGATTCACCAGAGACAGAGTGGGGAGCTGGCAGACTGAAACACTGCTGAGGGGAGAAGTGGGGGAGACAGGAGAGGTCTGTGGTGCCATATGGGTAGCTCCCTGGCTGGCCAGGGATCCAACTCATGCTGCAGAGGCTGCAGACAGCTTCATAGTGCTGTACTTTACCCCTTGAGCCACCAGAGAGGTCTGAGGATGTTTTGAGATGTGAAAATTTATTTTTAATTAAGTATTGGGGGGTAAAATGAGCCAAGTGGAAATTCCATCAGAACTTTTATTTTTTCCCTTTCCTTGTCACCCCCCCTTTTTTTTTTTTTAAGATTTATGTATTTATTTATACAAGCAGTGGGTACTGTCAGAGGCGCGGGAGGGTGAGAGAATTCACCAGAGCCAGAGCGGGGAGCAGAACAGACAGACTGATGAAATCCACTGCTAAGGGGAGCAGTGGGCGGCAGGAGAGGTCTGCGCGCCATGTGGGACCCTCTTCCGGTGGCCAGGGAGCAGCCGGGGATCGAACCGGCGCTGCAGAGGCTGCGGGCAGCTTCATAACCCAGCGCTCAACCTCTGTTCCACGGGGGAGGCCCTCAACCCCCTTTTATTGATGAAGAGATAATGTTTAAGATGTGAAATATGTGAGTAGAAAACCAAGATCAAATGTACCAGGAAAAAAATTATTCTTGGCTGACTTGTGTTGGGAAGAGTATTTTTTTTTTTTTTAAGATTTATTTATTTATTTATACAAGCACCGGGGCACAGTCAGAAGCGCAGGAGGGTGAGAGAACCCACCAGAGCCAGAGCGAGGAGCAGAACAGGCAGAGGGGAGCAGCAGGCGGCAGGAGAGGTCTGCGAGCCATGTGGGACCCTCGCCCGGCTGCCGGGGATCGAACCAGCGCTGCGGAGGCCGCGGGCAGCTCCACAGCCCAACACCCAACTGCTGCACCACCGGGGAGGCCCGGGAAGAGTATTTTTGAAAACTTTTTAGTATCTTAGCATGAGTACATTAAAAGCTGCTGAATTTTAGCAAACTCAGGATTAATAGCAGCATAGTATATTTCTTATTTCTGAAATTCTTAGACCTGGTGTGCTTACTTAAGCTCCAAGTACAGAATGTTCTGGTTTGAGTGGATTTTCCTGGCCTGCACAGGGAGGGAGGGAGAGAGGGAGCGAGAGGGAGAGAGGGAGGGAAAGATGGAGGGATGGAGGGAGATGGGCTTTATTCTGATTTACTATAATTTTGCCAAATGTAGCCCAAAAGATGTGAGGAGATTCTGATATTTCCTAAGCCCCAATACAGTTAGCACTTTTTCATTCAACTAACAACCAATATTTAATTTTGTGTTTATTGTACCTGGTTCTAGGTATTGGGAATATAATATGATATACAGGACATGACAACTTAAGGAAGATAGGACTTTCTAGAAGGGAAGACTATACACATGTGACAGAAATGGCATCTCTGGCCAAAAGAGATAAATCCAATAGCTAAGATTTGTAGATGCTCCTTTGTGACTAAGGGGATGGGTGGTCACTTCAAAGATATTATGGATTCTGCCCCCCGCACTCCCCATACTATGGAGAATTGTTTGGGCTAGGTGGCTTGTTGGGGTCTTGTACCACCCAGAAAGTTCATAGGCTAAAAGTTTGAGTATACAGTGTAGCAGCTGCAATCATCTGCCAGTGATATACATTATTTTACTTAATCCTTCCAACAAAATTCCTTGTGGAGTGTGTAGCACTTAGCATAGCCCCTGTAACTATACGAAACACAAAGGATGCAGTAGTGCACAAAAATAAGCAGCTTTGCTGCCATGCTTACATTCTAGGAGGGGAATAGCACTTTAAGTGCTATTAAGAAAAGAAAAACAGTCCCAGTAGAAGTCGATACAAAAGAAAATACGTTATGTTTGAAGTGAGAGCATATAGATCGTTAGGTTGGAGACAACTAGGTAAAGAGGGTTGGGGAATCACAGTTACAGACCCCATAGAGGGAGCGAACATTCCGTATTCAAAGACCTTAAGGCAGCCTGACTGCAGTAGCAAGATAGGTGGAGGAAGATGGGGCAGAGAAGGCTCCTGAAGATGGGGTAGACCTGTAGGCCATATATTTTCTAGAAAGCAGACTCTGATGGAGATTAGCTTGCAGGAATGTATTAGGGAGTGCTCTTGTAATCAGCCCCCGAGGAAGAGAAGGAAGCAGGATTGGGCAGAGAGAGAAGCTGGGCTACAAAGCAGTGCCAATGAAGGCCCAGCTACTCCACGGAGAACTCTGAAGCTTGGCTGGTCCTTCTAGTTGTCCAAGTGAGGTGGGGAGACCAGGTCTTTACATAGGTTTATGATTGAAGTGGGTGTAGGGGCAGGAATGGGCACAGTGCAGGTTTTCTGATCCAGCAAACGGGGTAAAGGAGGAATCCTGGAGCCCTCAGTGGCTTTTGCAGGTCTTTAATTTACCAAGCATATTGCAGGTGGGGTGCTGGGGTGCCGGGAGGCTAGCAAGCCTCCTAACCTCCAGCAAGTCTTCACTCTATCTGGGCTCTCCGGCATTTCTTCGTGGCTTTGCTTCTCTGCTCTCTCGTGGTTCTCTCTCTCTCTCTCTCTCTCAGCTTCTGTTCATTCTTGGCTTCTGCTGGTGTCCTGTAGGATAAGGAAAAATGTCAGGTTTTTCTGCCCTCCCGCCATCAGGATAGATGATGGATCCTTGTCCTGAATGCATGCCTGATGGCGGGCACCTGGAGTAGGGTGTGGGCATAGGTAGATGGGATTCACCTGGGCTGAGACTGGGCTTTTAAGGGCGGCGTCACGGGGACTCCAGTAGAAGCCAAAAGAGAAGCCAAGAGAGAAGCAAGAGAAGCAGAAGCTGAGAGAAGGCCGGAGAGCCCAGAGTGAAGACCTGCTGGGGGCTGGGAGGCCTGCCAGCCTCCTGGCCCCCCAGCACCCCTGCCTGCCATATGCCTGGTGAATCCCAATAAAAGACCTGCAAAAACCCCTGAGGGCTCCAGAACTCCTCCTTTACCCAGTCTGCATGGGATCCTAGAAAACCTGCTCAGTGGCCATTCCTGCCCTTAAACGTCCCTGTAGAGCAGGAACGGACACAGTGCAGGTTTTCTAGGATCCCATGCAGACCGGGTAAAGGAGGAGTCAGAGTCCTCAGTGCCTTTTTTTGGAGGTCTTTATTGGGATTACCAGGTACACGGCAGGTAGGGGTGCTGGGAGGCCGGGAGACTGGCAGCCCTCCCAGCCCCCAGCAAATCTGCACTCTCTCGGCTCTCTGGCCTCTGCTTCTGCTTCTTTGCTTCTCTCTCGGCTTCTCTTCGGCTTCTATTTGTTCTTGGCTTCTTGGCTTCTGCTGGTGTCCCCGTGACGCCGACCTTAAAAAGCACAGTCTTAGCCCAGGTGAATCCCATCTACCT